ATGTTGTCTTTTCTTTGAATAAAGAAGTCTATTTAGCCATTGCATGATAGCTACTGGTTGGAAAGATCTTGGCTGCCATATGCAGCCAGAAATCCATATAGGAAGAGAGTGAAGAGACCAGTGGTGGGATTCAAATACCTGAACATCCAGTTCTCTGCGTGGATGCAGGCCTGGGCCTCTGAGGCCTAGAATGGACTGCCGGAAGTGACATCCACGCACTTCCTATGGGGTGTTCTAGGCCTCGGAGGCCTCCTCCAGGCCTCTGAGGTCTAGAACGGACTTCTGGAAGTGACATCCAGGCACTTCCTGTGAGCCATTCTAGGCCTGGGAGACCTCCTCCAGGTGTCTGAGGCCTAGAACAGACTTCCAAAAGCAGCATGGGTTCAGCCAGTTTTCCAAACTCAACAAAATTTAGCTACCAATTCTACAGAACTGATGCGAACTGGTTGAATCCCACCACTGAAAAGGACCACAGAGTCCATGAGCTGTAGTTGGATTGCATGTGGATTAGAGGAACCCTAATACTTTTTTTAAACAATCTGCAACTACTATAAATCATGGGGATCGTATTCATTGGTTACCTAAATCATCCCTAATCTTTGTACTGCTGGACATATTAGGAACAATGGAAGAGTTGGTTTTTTTCCCCCAGAAAGGGTATTTTTCCATTATCAAATTAGTAACCTGGGGTTCTCCAAGGATTTGTGTTGAGGGTCTACTTGTTTGAAGAGGAATAAATATGATAGGTATGATTTGGGATGGGTAATCATTTCATTTTCTGTATTTCTTATTCATACATTCCTCAGATGTTCCTATCTTCTTCATAAATGGAATAAAAAGAAGAATGAAATTGAGAAGAACGAAGAAAAAAAATGAGTTGGTGGAGGAAGCAGATTGAATAGACTCATTTGTAGTTTTGTTTGAATATGATGTTCCTTCCTGCCTAGGTAGCTGAGATGATTTCCAGAAGGATGTTTTTAGCACCCACACACAAGGCAATTAACAGGTTTCTATTCTGGAATTCAGGCCACTCCCAGCTGTGTTGTTTGTTTAAATTTGCAATGGATTCTGCCCCAGCCATTTGAGCAGAATTGCAAGTTGGTTATTAGCTGCCTATACCTGCTTAGTCTAAATCTTGTCTTAATCCATGAACATGGCCTCCTCCAATCAGGGAGAAAGTTCAAAATAATTTTATTGCATTTGCAATGCTCCCCACTGACTTGACCTGCTGTCTTGTTAATTATATTGGGGGAATTTTCAGTTAATACTTTACCTGGAATATTAAAACCAAAAGGTTTTCCCTGATGGAATATCTCCAGTACAATTCAACCTGACTCAGCAATGTTCCAAAAGAGCAATGCTATCTTAGAAGAAAGAAGAATCAAAGCTTGGGGAACAAACAGGGTGAACTAGAAGTAATAGTACACGAGGGAGGGTATGACATAGTTGGCATTACAGAAACCTGGTGGGACGAAACCCATAAATGGAATGGGACTGATGGATAGATACAAATTGTTCAAAAGAAACAGGTCTAGAAAAAGAGGAGGTGGAGTTGCACTATATGTAAGAGAACACTACACATCTACAGAAATGCACAAGATCCAAGATAAAATCTCTCCAGAATGTATATGGGTCAATATAAAAGAGAAAAAAAGTGACATTACCATAAGTGTATATTACCCAACCAATCAGAAGAAATAGACGAACTGTTTGCCAACTAGCTAACAAATATATGTAGGAAGCATACCACAGTAGTAATGGGAGACTTCAACTATTCAGATATCAACTGGGAGACAAACTCTGCAGCGAGCAGGAGATCAAACAGATTCCTAACCAACCTAGCCAACAACTTTGTCATCCAAAAGGTGGGGGAGGAAACTAGATGTAAAGCCATATTGGACTTAATTCTAAATAATAGAGAAGAAGTGATAGAGGGAGTTGACGTTGACGGAAACTTGGGGAAAAGTGACCACATCATACTGGAATTTAATATAACGCAAACATTAGCAACAGAAAACAATCCAACCAGTGTCTTGAACTTCAAGAGAGCTCACTTTAACAAACTCAGAGAGAACCTAGGAAAGATCCTATGGATGAAAATCCTAAAGGGGAAAACAACCCAAGAAGCATGGGAAACTCTGAAAAATGTGCACAAAAGTCCAGACCAGCACAATACCACTGAAAAAGAAAAACAAGAAATTGAAGAAGAAAGCAGCATGGCTCCACAAAGATCTCTCTGACAAACTGAAAGACAAAAAGGATAAATACAAAAAAAAAATGGAAAGAGGGGCACATAACTAAGGCTGATTATAAGCAGACAGCCAGAACATGTAAAGATGAAGTCAGGAATGCAAAGGCTCAGAACGAACAAAGACTTGAAACAAAAATCATGGATAATAAAAAAAAGTTTCTTCCAACATATTAGCAACAACAAAAAGTCAAGGAAACTGTAGTGTTGTGGGAAAAACCACGATACTTACATCAGAAGACAAGACCACGAAGGGTTGGAGAAAACAGGTTTTTATTCGTGCACGATGGTTCAGAGTATTAGCATGACAAATTCTGAACCCTGAGTTACTCTGAGGGTGTCACTTTTATACAGCTTGCCGCCCACGCTTAACCTAATAGATGACTTCTTATCCACCTTCAACACACTAAAACAGAGAAGTTTATATCTTGAGGCTACACAAGGAAAAAGGAGAAGTTCACACAAACGGTTGTCTTACCACACCTTTCTGCACGGGTGCTATCTTACAACATCTGTGACTTTTAGTTGACACTGACACTTCTTGTAAAATGGTTTCTACATAGCATGAACACATCTCTATAATTATGACACACAGGTTATATGATTTAGGTTACATTTCACAGCCAAACTTAATATTATCTATTAACTATTATCAGCAACAAGCATTCCTATTAAGACATAGATATATTGAACTATTTCCTGCCCACCTCATTTCCTCCCCTTGAAACTTCACTAAAATCATGAGATTATTGAGGAGTTTCATACCTTGGAGGATAACATAAGGTAGCATATTCCCCTTCCTCTACAAGGGCCATGACCTGGGCTATGGCTCTTTTCTCAACGAGCATAGAGAGAGTCTTGGAAATGGTGCGAGTAGCAATAGGCAAAATACAAGGTAGAATTAGACAACCAAGGGCAATGATTCCCACGAGGGCGACGATGGCTTGCAAACCAGGCAGCTTGGGAAACCAAGATGTAAATACCTGGGTAAAGTCAAAACCTTTCCATTCTTGGTCAGCACTATGGGTAAGTTGCCTCACCTCAGTGGTCAACTGCTTAATGGCTTTTCCTGTCTCATCAATTTGCAAACAACAATTGGAAAGATTGAACCTGCCACAAACACCTCCTTCCTTTGCCAAGATGTAATCTAGGGCCAACTTATTCTGATATACTGCTCTTCGAATCTTATCAGTAGTATCAGACAATATATTGAGAGCCTTTAAGATAGGGGAGCAGAGTTCCCTCAAATTCAGTGGGCTCTGGGCTTTGACCAGGAGAGACCCATTTTACATAGTCCTGATCCCAATATCCCAAACAGATTAGATGTCCTACCGGCACAGTATGGTTTCTGAAGAAACAGTCCCTCCCAACCAGGTTAGTAGCCAAAGTCCACACAGCTCCTGAGAAGCGAGTCCGAGCTGTCACGTTTCCAGCATTAAACATGTTGTTATAAATTTCAGGGGTGGCCTCTAAAGCTTCCCATGGCCATTGCTCCCCCATGTCGATACCACCACATACAAAACAATTCTTTACAGTGAGTGTCTTTGCCACCTCCTCAGCCATTTCAATAAACAAATTAGTAGCTGTTGTACTTACAGGGAGGGGGTCATCTTCCAGTTTCTTCAGATTATCATATACAGACCAGCCTAAAGACCTAATTTGCCCATCATAGATTCGTTCTACTTGGACCGTGAGGTAGGTCTTAGGGTCTTCACCAGTCCCCTCAATACCAAAGCCATATAAACAAAGTGTATCCCTGTAGGAAGGTCCACAAAACATTCATCACAAGGAGGGACGTGGTCTGAAGGGTAAGGTTGTGGGTCCCCCAAGAGATATTCATCACCACTTACTCCCTTATGATCGCCCTCCCTTGTGGAAAGACCCTATCCCACAGAGGTTGATACAGGTTCTGGAGAACTTAAAGTGGGGGATGGGGTGACAGCCTTACTGATATTCAGATCATCGGGTTCAATTAGCCAGTCCTCAGGCACACCCTTAACCCCCTTCTCTTTGACTGTGATCCCTCTATACAGAAACAGAGAGTTAATTATAACAGTGATTAACAACAACATTACCACCACCCAAATTGTTGGGATGAGCCCTTTCCTAATACAGGCAGTTTCCCTCATCCTCTGGGTGGAATCCATAACCAATTAAAAAGACTTTTAAGACTAATGATGTGAACGCAGTTTCCAAGGTAGGGACCTGTTGTTGCCCGTGCGATGGGTGTTAGCTTCCGGAGTAACACCTGCAGGGGTTTGCTTCACCTCTCCCGTTCGCAGGGGTGCAGCGTCCGGGGTGTCACCAGAAGGGGAGAGGCTCCTTCTTCTACGATGCAGGGATAGTTTAAAGGGTTGAGTTGGGTTACTATTCACTTTCCATTGGGTGGGGGCTGCCAATTTAACCCTGGACCAATGGATCCACAATTTGATCTCAGCCACCTTAATAGCAAGGGGAGAACACATAACAACAGTATACAGCCCTTTTCCACTTTAGGCTTAAGACCTCCCTCTTCCAATCCTTTACCCAGACCTCCTGTCCCGGTGGTATATTATGTGTTAGTGTAACCAAGACATGGGGTCTTTGGGTTAGAACATATTGGTGTAGCCACTGGACTATAGTGTTAAGAGCCTGCAGCTGTTCTAATTTAACAGTATCTGCCACTTGTTCAGAGTTCTGGACACCTGGTTTGAGTAAGTTGGGGACTCTGCCATACAATAATTCAAAGGGAGACACGAGCAGCCCCCTTTGTGGGGCACACCTTACCACAACCAGGGCCATATTTAAAGCATCTGGCCACTTAAGCTGAGTCTCCTGACATATTTTTGCCAATTTTTCCTTAATGGTCTATGTATTCTCTCCACCCTTCCTCCTGATTGAGCATGGAAACTACAGTCAAGCTTCCATGTTATTCCTAGCATAGCTGCTATCCTTTGGGTGGCTCTATGGATAAATTCAGGACCATTATCTGAAGAGATTCTAGATGGCAACCCATACCTGGGAATAATAATATGAAGCAAGGCTTTTGCGACCTCAGTTGCTTTTTTCTTCTTCCTCTTTGTAGGGATGCAATCTAGCCATCTAGTGTATGTACATACTATGACTAGCATTGCTTTATAGGGACCTGAGCATGGCATGTCAGTAAAATCAATCATCAAGGAATCGAAGGGATAATTTCCTCTGGGCTGATGTTCTTGAGGCAGTTGGGGTCCTTGCCTTGGGTTGTTGGTGGAATAGATCTCACATCTAGCATAAACATTCGCTGCAATACTGTCTATTTTGTCAATATAAACCTCTCTCTTCAGGGCATTTGCCAGTGCCGCCTTTCCCAGGTGCAGTTGCTTATAAACCTGTTGCACTGCATCCCATGCCATATATCCTGGGATAGAGACTCGCTGGTCTGGCCAAATCCATCAACCATCTTCCTGCCTTGCTTCCAGCATCTCAGCTTTGTCCAAGTCTTCCTGAGAGTAGTTTGGTTTACCCTGGTCCTGTTCCTCAGGGGTCCACAAAGCTAGACAATTTGTATGCTCAGAAGGTGCCTTTAGTACAGCAATGTGAGCTTCCCTGTCTGCCTTATTATTTCCTAATTGAATATCTGATGCTCCCTTCTGATGGCCTTTGCAATGCATTACAGCTACTTCCTTAGGCTCCCCACACTATTCAGCAGACGCAATATCTGTGGTCCATATTTAACATCCTTTCCCCCTGAAGTTATAAGTCCTCTTACTTTGTATAAGGCTCCATGGACTTGCACTGTTAGGAATGCATACTTAGAGTCTGTGTAATATTAATGCACTTTCCTTTTGCCAACTCCAAAGCTCTAGTTAATGCATGCAGGTCAGCTAGCTGAGCATTTGTACCGGGCGGAAGTTGCTCAGCTTCCCATACTTCCTCCAAAATCACCACAGCACATCCTGCCTTTCAAATGTCTTCTTGCATAAAACTAGTTCTACCCGTGTATATTGTAAAGTCTGGATCAAGCAGGGGGACATCTCTCATGTCTGAGCGGCTAGTGTAAGTTTCTTCGATAGCTTGTATGCAACTACGTGTGGTTTCCAAGTCTGATTCAGGCAACAGCGTGGCTGGATTCAGTGAGTTTGATTAAATTAATATAATCATTGGATTATGTATTATTAGAGCTTGATATTTCAGCATGCATGGGTTGGTTAGCCACAAATGTCCTTTTGCTCCTAAGACAGCTTTAAGAGCATGGGGTGTGTAGATATCTAACTTTTGTCCAAAAGTCAACTTGTTAGCTTCAAGCCGGCCATCCTCTGGCTACATTGTCAAGCTGTTTAGACAGATAAGTGACCGGGTGATGCCAGGTTCCTGTTTTCTGGGTGAGAACTCCTACTGCCACATTTTGCTTTGTATCTACAAACAGTTGAAATAACTTGTCCAAGTCTGGTATACCTAAACTAGGGGCGCACATTAGAGCCTCCTTGAGAGCGGTGAAGCTGTTATTTTCTTGCTGTTCCTATCGCAATGGTTCTTTATCTCCCATCCTCTGTGGCCTCATATAGGGATCTTGCTATTAAACTAAAGGTAGGGATCCATATTCGGCAGAAGCCAGCAGCAACTAAAAAATCCTCTTAACTCTTTCCTATTCTTCAGTACAGGCAGCTGGCAGATAGTGGACGATGCTTTGCAAAACCGGGGGGGGGTTGTCCTCTGCCCACAGGTGTGGCATATTGAACTCTTTCCACTTTGTATTTGCTTCTACTGCTTGTGCCAGCATCACCATTCTCCATTCCTCTGCATGGGGTACTTCCATCATCACCTTTCCATAGTTTATGGCCATTGTGCCATCTTCTTCAAAGGAGATCTGCACCCTTAGTTTACAAAGCAGATCCCTTACCAATAAAAGAATTGGCATATATTCAAACTGAAGGGTTATAGTTTTTCCTCCCCTAGTGCAACTTAAGGGCTCCAAAAAGGGTCTCTGCAATATTTTTCCTGTTGCTCCTTGTATGTTGATAGAGTGAGGGGAGGCTTGGCTTAGGGGTTGGGTTAGGACTGATCGGGTGGCTCCAGTATTCACAAGGAAGGGAATAGGTTTGCCTCCTACTGTTATACTGACCACAGGTTCTGGGAGGCGGGCTGAACCCAGTCGGTCTCAGTCCCATTCCTCTGCTTCTGCCAGGCCTATGAGGGGAGTCCTTGAAAATCCTCTTCTTCTTTCTCTCCCTCCCTGGCTTCTCCTTGGGCCACCTCTGTAGCTCTTCGCAAACCTACCTCTTCCCCCTCCTTTTTCTTCCTCCTTTTCTCTTTCTGGACATTCACCCTTCCAGTGTCCTTCCTTCTTACATATGGCACACTGGTTTTGTCCTAACACCCTTCCCCGTCCTCTACCTCTGCCACCTCCCCTTGACACCCCCATCATAGCAGCTGCCAGCAATTCAGCTTTCCTTTGCATTTTCTGATCCTTTTTCTTTTCCTCCTCCTTCTCTCTATTCACAAAAGTCTTTCGGACACTTGATTTGTTTTTTGCACTAAATGGGCCATAATGAAATTTCTAAACAAGAAGGTCTGATGTAATAAAAGGCATATGTTGGAATAGAGGAGCTGTGGCTGTTTCTGCTGGATCGTCCTTACTGACAACCAATTGATCTACTTGTCTAAGGGGAGCATTCAAAGATGCTTCCTCAGTCTTTGTCCTCGTTTGTTCAGCTGTCAGTCCTCCCACTTCTCTGTCTTCTATTTGCAGTCCCATCCGTTCCTCTTCTGCCTTGGACCCTCTCAGCACCTCTTGCTGAAGGTCCAGTTTGGGTCCTTTGATCCTGGACATCTGGTTGGATTATGGCTTGTCCCCAACTTTTTCTATCTTTAAACTTTTTAACATAGGGGACAGTTTTGCATTTCTGAATCCATGGTGGAGGTCTTTGCAACAAGCCGAGCCACACATCAATATAGGGTGCCTGGTCTGGGTGCCCTAACATGGGATTGAACACTAACTAATGTACTTTTAGAGCAATGAATGGATCTAGTGTCCCTGTGCTTGGCCAGCCTATGTTAAAGCTGGGCCAATCTACCTCACAGAAGATCCTCAACTTATGCCTGCTCCACTTAATACCACAATCCTGATCCTCATAAGCAGACTTAAAATGCTTTAACATACACCCCAATGGAGTAAGGAGTACACTTTCACCACCCCCCCATGAGCCTCCCAGGGCACCAGACAAGACAAATGAGGAAAGGGGATGAGAGGAAGGTAAGGGGTCCTTCCACTCGGGATTACACTGAGGGTTTCACTTATACGCGCTAGACCCAGGGAGCCGGAAACTCAACGGTCACCGATGGGAAGTTCGAGCGCCACTCACTCACTGCAAACACACACAACAATCCTCCCACCTTATTCCAAAGAGAGGGTGATCAGTCCTCTCCTCCGTCCCTGCTTACAGGGAGGGATTCCTTATTTCCCTTTCAATACTTGCCTGCAGGCGAATCATTTGTCCTCTAGCCGGCTGGAAAGTTGCCTGGTCTCCTTACCCTTCATCAGTGGTTCTTGGAGTGGCCGACCGCCAATGCTGGAGCCCTGTGTCACAGGGAAGTCCCTCGGAATAAAAGGTCCGATGGCGCCTGGGATGTTCCCCCTAACACTACAGGCCCCTGGCATCAGGGTGTGCCCTCCAGAGAGCCCCAAGACTCCTTGCCGTCCTGCCGCGGTCGCCAGATAATTGTTGTGGGAAAAACCACGATACTTACATCAGAAGACAAGACCACGAAGGGTTGGAGAAAACAGGTTTTTATTCGTGCACGATGGTTCAGAGTATTAGCATGACAAATTCTGAACCCTGAGTTACTCTGAGGGTGTCACTTTTATACAGCTTGCCGCCCACGCTTAACCTAATAGATGACTTCTTATCCACCTTTAACACACTAAAACAGAGAAGTTTATATCTTGAGGCTACACAAGGAAAAAGGAGAAGTTCACACAAACGGTTGTCTTACCACACCTTTCTGCACGGGTGCTATCTTACAACATCTGTGACTTTTAGTTGACACTGACACTTCTTGTAAAATGGTTTCTACATAGCATGAACACATCTCTATAATTATGACACACAGGTTATATGATTTAGGTTACATTTCACAGCCAAACTTAATATTATCTATTAACTATTATCAGCAACAAGCATTCCTATTAAGACATAGATATATTGAACTATTTCCTGCCCACCTCAGTAGGTCTACTAAAGAGAGAAGATACCAAGGAAATAACAGGCCACAGGGAGAAAGCAGAGCTGCTTAACTCATACTTTGCATCAGTCTTCACACAAAAATAAACTATAGGCCAACATACCCTCCCCCCCCCAAAAAAACCCTGCAAAAGTTAGAACCAAAAATTAAAATAAACAAAAATTAAAATAAACAAGAACACCTATCCAACCTTGATGAATATAAATCAATGGGGCCTGACAGATTACATCCCAGAGTTCTGAATGAGCTGGCAGATGTTATCTCAGAACCATTACATCACATCTTTCATAAATCCTGGAGCACTGGGGAAGTACCTGAGGATTGGAAAAGGGCTGATGTGGTTCCCAACTTCAAGAAAGAAAAAAAATGGACCCAGGAAACTACAGACCAGTCAGTCTAACATCAACACCTGGGAAGATCTTAGAAAAGATAATCAAAAAACAGATCTGCAAACAACTAGAAGCAAACAAAGTTATAACTAGTAGCCAGCATGGGTTTGTTAAAGTCAGATCACGCCAAACCAATCTTATTTCATTCTTCAACAAAGTAACTAAACTAATAGAGCAGCAAAATGCTGTGGACATAATATACTTAAATTTCAGTAAGGCATTTGTTCAAGTAGACGACAACCTACTATTTGGTAAGCTGGGAAAAGGTGGAATAGACAACATCACTACCAGATGGATCTGTAGCTGGCTGCCAAACCATAGTCAATGAGTAGTCCTCAATGGCACTACATCCACATGGAGAGAAGTAAGCAATGGGGTACCACAAGGTTCTGTCTTAGGCCCAGTACTCTTCAATATCTTCATCAATGACTTAGATGAGGGAATTGAAGAGGAACTCATCAAATTTGCAGATGATACCAAACTGGCAGGAGTAGCCAACACCCCAGAAAACAAACTCAGGATCCAAAAAGATCTTGACAAACTTGAACAATGGGCCCTATCCAAAAAAATGAGTTTCAATGTGGAGAAAAGCAAAGTTTTACATTTAGGTAGGAAAAATCAAAGGTACAAGTAAAGATTGCACAAGACCTAGCTTAAAAACAGTAACTTTGAGAGGGATCTTGGAGTCCTAATGGATGATCACTTAACCATGAACCAGCAGTGTGCAGCAGCAGCCAAAAAAGTTAATAAAATCCTGGGTTGTATAAACAGAGGCATAGGCTCAAGATCATGTGAGGTATTAGTACTGCTTTATAAAACCCTAGTAAGACCACACCTGGAATACTGCAGCCAATTTTGGTCACCATCCTACAAAAAAGATATTGAGAGTTTGGAAAAAAATCAGAGAAGAGCAACTAAGATGATCAACGGTCTGGAGACTAAAACATATGAAGAACGGCTGCAGGACTTGGGTTTGGCTAGTCTAAAGAAAAGAAGAAATAAGGGAGGCATGAGTATTTGAGGGGCTGCCCCAAAGAAGAGGAGTCACATTATTCACCAAAGTACCAGAGGGCAGGACAAGAAACAATGTTTGGAAACTAATCAAAGAGAAACTTCTTGGCAGTGAGGACAATCAACCAGTGGAACAGCTTGCCCCCCAAAATAGTGGGCACTCCATGACTGGAGATTTTTAAGAAGAGACTAGACAATCACTTGTCTGAGATGGTATAGGTTATCCTGCTTGAGTGGGGGGGCTGGACTAGAAGACCTCCAAGGTCCCTTCCAGCTCTATTCTATTCTATTCTATTCTATTCTATTCTATTCTATTCTATTCTATTCTATTCTATTCTATTCTGAAAGTATTTTACACTTTTTATAAAAAAAGAATATATCCAGTGTTCTTTTAAAAGTGTTTCATATAATTTTTAAATACTTTTTATACTTTTTTGCATACTTTTTTGATCACATTCAGAAATTGCTTATTAACTGCTTTTTGGCTATTTGATAATTTTGGATCACCAAGTTTTTACAACACTGGATAGTTTCCATCAATCTTTAGCAAAATAAATTTTAAATATAAGTTAAAATAAAACTATTTTTAATAATCAGCAAAAGTCTTTTTTTTTTGCATCTTCTATTTATTCCTTTTTTGTATGTGTCTATATATTTTTATTGTTTTAATTGTAATCTTCAATATAAAAAAGGAATATTTAATAGGGAAAATATGCATACTTAGGGAATAAGTGTACCAATGGTAGTAAATTAATATACCGTATATGCCGGCGTATTTGGTGACCCGGCGTATAAGATGACCCCCGTCTTTATCGCCGAACCGCATTCCTAGAACGTCGTCTTATATGCCGGAAACTACCAGTATTTCCAGCATATAAGACGACTCAGCGTATAAGACGACCCCCGTCTTTGGCGCCGAGTTTAGCGCTTCCGGAAGTCGTCTTATACGCCGGCATATACGGTAATTGTTAATTAAATTTAAATCACATTCTACTTTTTAATTGGCCTAACCACTTTTTGTCATGATCCTGCTCATTTTTTAAATAGGACTCTCAGCATGCCATTCCAAGTCACAATCTATCACATCCACTAAATCGAAAGTTTGCACTTACTACTAAGCTGTTTTTGAAAGACTTCCCAGAGAAATGTTAGTCCTTAGTTTTTTGTTTAATCTGTATGATCATTCAGACCAGCAAAGCAGCACTGATGATACTGACATCTTTTGAGTATCTGATTATATCTAAGGTTCTTAATTCTTTGGGTATATCTAGCAAGTGCCAAGAATGAGATTTGCCTGGATTTTTATTTTTATTTTGAATTATGATCACATTCTACTGCTGCTGGTTTTTTTCTGGAATTAAGTCATTGGGAGGAGCTATATAAGGCCATTGAAGTCAACCCCCTGCTCATTTTAGGAATACATTTAAGCATTCCTAAAAGATGGCTATGCAGCATCTCTTTGAAGACATCCAGTGAAGCCCACAATATCTCTGAGTAATTGGTTCCACTATCGGTCTGATTTTACTGTGAGGATGTTATTTTTAACATTCAAAAAGCATCTGGCTTCCTATTACTAAAATCTATTATTCTATATATTCTGAAATTATGGAGAACAGATCTTGACATCGTTTCAAAGCTAAAGTTGCCCATCTCCTTCAGTTTCTTATCATAAGATTTAATGTCTAGTCCCTTGATCATCTTCCTTGTCTCTTCTGAACCACTTTATTTGAATAGCAACAGCTCTTACATTTATATACTGCTCCATAGTGCTTTACAGCCTTCTCTGATCAGTTTATAATGTCAACAGATTGCCTCCAACAATTTGGGTCCTCATTTTACCAATCTCAGAAAATGGAAGGCTGAATCAACCTTGAGCCCATCAGGATCGAACTCCAGTCTATGGGCAAAGTCCAATACTGCATTCTAACCACTGTGCCACCATGCAGAAGAATCTTTAGAATTTTTCTAAAGTAAGATACTCAAGAACAGGATGCCATGCTTAATATGGAGCCTGAGTAATGCAGAACTCTTCCTTGCATGACTTGGAAACTATATTTCTATCAATGAAGCCTAAAATAGACTTTGTCTTTTTTTTTAGTCATATTTCCGTGCTGATTCCTGTTTAATTTAAATATGAAATCCTTTTTTTTTAGAACGGAAATGGTGCAAAAAATGAACAACATTATATGGTCATAATATGCAGGAAAATCTAAGAGGCTACTTGTGGAGCTTCATGGAGTTCTCCATTAAACTCTCAGTTTTGGTGGACAAAGATTCACTAGGTTAGAAATAGAATTGATGGAGAAGCATTGTCTAAAATGAAAGAGGTGGCTGAAAGATTGCTTCTTTTTTTAACCTTTAAAAAATTTAATGCATTTCCACCTAGAATAGATTCTTTGGAAAATACAGGTTTTCCCCTCAATGCAGTTCCTTGATGTTAGCCCTTTGAGGTAGTCCAGAAGCATATTTGTGAGTATCATCTCTAGCTTTATTGTAAGCTTGCAAGAGTGAAAGGATCTCTTCCCTTCTCTCCTTTTATTCTCCAGAAAACTAGCCTCTGCTCTTTGAAGAGACCAAACATACTTTAAGTAATCCAGGCTTTTTAAAGGTTAAAAAAATATTGGCCACTATTTTTTAAAGGTTAAAAATCAAATGCAAAGCTAATATGTCTGTACGTGTGTTTTTTGTTGAAATACAAATACTGTCCAAACTTAATGCTATCATGGAGATGTCCTGACATGGATCCACTAGCAACAAAACATTCACCATTCATCCACAGCAATACCCTGGAGGAATAAGAGCAAATCAGGAGAAGCCAGAAACTCAGCAGGATTAATGAGAGCTTTCTTGAAAAGCACAAATATGTATTCATTTTAAAGTATGCTTCATCATTCTTTCATACTTGTGATAGCAAACCCAGTGATAAATTATTTCCCCGGGACAATTGCATTTTAATGTTAGCAAATGTGGACAATAAGTGTAAATGACTGCCTTTTACCGACTCCTTCCATTCTTTGTGACCTCACAAAGTCTTCAGAGATTGGGTTCCATTTCCCAAATGAAAGAATTTAAGAATTTAATTAAAGAATTTAAGCATATTTTTTTAAAAAAACTTGAATATCAAAGCAAGCAAAGTTTACTCATTCACCTATGTAAGCAAGGAGCTTTTCAGTTCTTCCCTGTGTCTGTGGGATTCAGTTGAACTCAAGAGTAGAACCTTGCATTCTTCTGCTTTCCATGAGTGGACTCTCCATGTTTCACATCTCTATATAGTAAAGACTCTTTCCAGCACTGGATAAA